TGAATGCGATGTGGCCTATACAATGACTTGCGGGGGCCAGCCGATGTACAAGTCAGTGTTTTTAGACCCAGGATTTGATCCCCGGGCCGCTCGCGTGGTAAGCGTGCCACTTGCCACTACACCACTTCCGCCCCTAACCTGTGGAAAAGAGCTGCATAATCGCCTTTTTTGCCTTTCGAGCCTTGTAAGCTGAGCTTAGGGAGGACTTTGAGTCGTTCAACTTCTGTCGTAACGAAACTATTCTTGGAGGATTTTCCAACGCAAATATTTCAGGCTCAGGCAGTCTGATGAAAAGCAGAGACCCTCAAGGATGACCGTGCAAGAGTTCGACAAAATGTTGGCAGCAGCATTACGACTTGGAAACTAGATATTTTTGGCATTGCGACGAATTTATCAAAAGGAACAACTATATGAAACAAACTTGCAGATGTATTGAGAGAATATTGAAGATTCGAGTAAATATTTCATAGCTGAACTTGATAAAGTCATTGATGTGAAGTTTTTATTCTTAAAGCTTTTATGAGGAATGCACTACCACTGTCCTTCCACTTGGAACCTTCAGGGGAAATACTCCCGGCGAAGAGGTCCTTGGTAAGATCGGAGCGAGGAAGGGAAACTCACCTACTGTAAAAAGAGGCAGACCCCGTGGACTGAAACACAAATCGCAGCGAAAGATATCCCCTGACGAACTAGCATGGCCGTCCCGCAGCAGCTATCGATGCAGCACGCCCACTGAACGGCCAACCACTCGTCGCGGCCTCTACTTATGTGACGATCGCTGATAAACTGGTATTGATCAAAGATTTGAAGTGTGCTACTCCACTTTAAAGAATTCACATACTAGATTTGTTAGGATCTTCTCTTTCTTTAATAGATCACGATTTCATAGCACATAATCAAGTGGTCAATGTCGTTTGAAATTGGTTACAGGGTAGTCGGATCAAGCGCTATCAGCATCATCACTGAAAGCCAGAATCGGCCCAATATGGTATTATGCGACGTGAAGCTTGAGTATGGAGCGACAGTGGAGATAAACGAAAAAACCGGCAACAATGGCATAAAACAAACTCCCTCCCACCAAGCATTGAAGGCACTTGGGAGAGGGGCACGTGCTAACTTAATTTTCCGAGATGCCACCATTCCATCGTGGATACTGGGCAATCATCCTACCGATTCACACGTTACAGCCAGCACGCACCACCAGGCAACCGTTACTTTTTGCGACGACATTGACACGTTGAGGACCGACGTTGACCGCTCACTCGCTTGCGCCGAGCCCGGCTGTTGTCTTGCGTTTGCGTACGTTCACTCTCGGCATTACTCTCACACGCCTGAGAGCCATGCGTTGACTTTGTCCAACGGACGGTTGACCCTGCGCACCACATCCCGCTGGGCGGGCCAGCTGATGCACGAAGCCATCGCTGTAAGTAGTAGGCCAGAGGCTTGTTCGCCGCGCAATCTCGAGTCAAGCGTGGCGTCACCCTCTGAGCGCAGTCCTGGCCATAGTAGTGATGGAAAAGGCCTTCTATGACCGCCTAATCCGCTCGGTGGCTTTAAGGCCAAAACTCACTCAATGACGCCATTCAAGGATACGAGTGTAGGGAGATTCGTAATAATAGTTGTCGACGCGGTCATTCGCTACGCAAAGTATGCGTTTTTCCGCACTGAAAGGTAGGTGGCCTTGTGAGAACGCGTCAGATTGTTGCCTACTAGCTAGGTTTTCGCAGAAGCATCAAACGTGAGTACTTGAGTGGTTTGTTATGCGTTTTTGCCACTGCTATAACGTCATCCCGGTTCTCACGTCAATGTTGCTCTGCTTCTGGGGTGATGTTCATTTGCATTCGAATCAATAAATCATGAGCAACTGCAGAAATCCCCTTTTCAGCAGCGTTCCGACTACTTCTGCTTCTCTATAGACCGAGTAATCATCACTTCTTGAGTAAAAGTCCGAAAAATTCTGTGAGATGTGCCTTTAAGTTCATATAATAGCCATACGTCATTGTTTTGTTATATGGGCAAATGGTGGGCTCCACTGTATTCGTTTTTTATCACCCACTGAGGCATCCGCGAAAAAGGCATTTCATGTAGTTTGGTAATTACGGGCTAGATAACAAGCGCGTTTTCTTATCGGAACCATTCTAAAATCATGCTGGATCGGCTGCTTGTGCTCGTCCTGGTCGCCTCCACAGTTCAGGCCAAAAAGAATGAAGATCCCGAATGTAAGATGACTACGGTAAGTTGAAATCTTTAATACCTTTTCTGCTCAGTGTAGTGATGATTGCCCCGTGAATTCATCTTTATATTATCTGTTTAAGCCACAAATAATCGAGCATTGGGGTTATCCGGCCGAAATTCACACCGTCACCACCGAGGATGGATACATCTTGGAGTTGCATAGGAATTCCATATGGAAGAAATGGTTTGTTAAT